AGCGAGAGACCAACGCCAACAACAATTGTGGAGTGCTTTGTGTTTGTATTTGCTGCTGAACACACTGTATCATTGACAAAGCACAAAAGGAAAATTGGGTGTCCTCTCCGCTCTGTGAAAGGCACTATACAAATAAACATTACTTACTTAATTATAATAATGTAAAAAAGCGGATCACCAGAAAACAAACTGTATTGAATTGTATGTTATTTTCACTCAGAGAGATTGTACAATATTGCGCAGACCACATTGTAGCCCTCACCGTTGGAGAATGTTAAAGTGGAAAACATATAGCTGGATCCTTTTTCTCCTCTTGTAACATTTTCCATTCACAAAAGTAAATGTAATGCTATTCCAAACAATTCCACCTTTTGATCCCTCTCTGCGTTTGTACGTCTTGCGATTGGTTTTCTTTGCATGCAGAGCGACGGTTGTGATTTGGATTGGTTTGTGATCCAGACACTTGCATACATACTATTTACATTCATCTCCCATCGGTACAAACTTGTATTTTTGGAAAGCCTGTTGTCGTCGTTGTTGCTCTCAGGCGTGCCCATGTCTTAAATGTAGTACTTGTAATCATCTCTGTTGGCGTGGCGTGCTCCATTGGCTCACGGAGACAAAAGAAAAGTCAGATCAGACAAACAGCTGTTTCTCCTGGGGTTGATTATTTAGCTGGAGTTGTTTTATGTGAGCACAAAGTAAAGCATTTTCTCAAAGGAACTGCTCCATTAAAGAACACACGCAGTGCTTTTGTCTGCTGTACAGTTATGGGCAAATATGGATCAACACACACGGATCCAAAACAATGTAATACACAAAATAGACTGGCCAAAACCTTCATACTACACGATATATATGTAACGGGTAAAATGCCAAACCACAGAACTTGCTGGACTATTATCGCATCTGTAAATAGACCGTACCTGCAACAGCGATGCAGCCGACATATGTATTTGTAGTTTGTTAGAGCTCCCCCTGGAGTGCGGGAAGGGATTTGGACATAGCTCTATCAGCTGTTGATCTCCAGAACTGAGCTGGCCTACATTCCTGCTTTCTGATATGTTTATGTGAACAGCAGAGAGACACTTTATTCATCTCCATAGTGAGACCAGACTGCTCAGAACAGACTTCAGAAATCTAGTGGGTAGTACATCCAGGCTGCATGTGGAGGAGCTCAAACTGGAGATTATCTCTTGGACAGTTTTATCATTTACAGGTGCAAAGTGAGTTAGCTCAGAGAGCCTTTCTGGCTGTTGGATGGTTATCTGTGGATTGGAGACAATGGCGCTTTTGATGCCTTGAACCTTGTCATTGAAAAAATTAGCAAACTCATTGCATTTACGTTTGGAAGTAAGCTCTAATGGCATTTGAACAGGGGGGTTTGTTAATCTATTAACTGTTGAGAACAGAACACGCAGATTGTTGCTGCAGCCTTCAATCATTTCAGAAAAATACCTTTCTCTCGTACTACGTAGCACCCGGTTAAACTCGCACAACTTATCTTTGAAGATCTCGTAATCTACCTGGAGGTTGGACTTGCGCCACTTCCGCTCGGCCCTCCGGCACTTTCTCTTTTGTGCCCTGACCGAGTCTGCTTTAGCCCACGGCGCCTTCTGCTTATTTTTCACTATTTTAACCTTCACAGGGGCAACGGTATCCAGAACATTCAAAACACTAGAGGTGACAGAGTTAAACAGTTCATCTACAGTAGAATACGATGCATTCTCAAAGTTTATCATTTCCATAAATAGTTCACTCGTATTTTCATTTATGCGCCTTCTTCGAACAGTTGCAGAGTCCACTGGTGGTTTGTTAGTGAAACACATGTCAAAAAAAACACAGAAATGATCCGAAAGAGCAACATCGACCACGTTTACATTTGAAATAATCACCCCCTTTGTAACTAACAGATCTAGAGTGTGCCCTCTGCTGTGGGTGGGGCCACTTACGTGCTGAGTGAGATCAAAGGATTCAAGTACAGAACTCAGCTCATTTGCATTTCTGTCATCAACATTATCCACATGAATATTAAAATCACCTGTAATAACCAAACTATCAAAATCTGTGCATACAACTGAAAGCAACTCGGTAAAATGATCAATAAAACTGTGACATGACTGCGGTGGCTTGTATAGGACAACGAAGAGTATTGGAGGAGATTGTTTTTGTTGTATTTTAAAAGACACATATTCAAATGACGAAAACTTCCCAAGAGACATTCTATGGGAGACAAAGTGGTCTCTAAAAATGGCAGCTAAGCCTCCTCCTTTTTTGTTTTCCCGTATTTCAGATTCAAACTTGAAATTTGGTGGTGATGCTTCTATTAAAACTGCATTTTCTGAATTTTGGTCAAGCCAAGTTTCAGCCATGAACATAAGATCAAGATTATGAGAACAAATAAAATTATTGATTAAAAAAGACTTGTTACAAAGAGATCTGACATTAAGCGTAGCAAGTTTCAAAGTTTCAGTATCAGCGGTTGCGGTCGGCTGATTCTTACACGGAACAAGAATTAGATTTTCCAGATTAGACTGATTAACTCCAGATGTTTTTCTGTAATGTATTCTTTGTGTTATCACTAAGGGATGGCACAGGTGGCTTCATGACAGGGCCCCAGCCGGGTCTCTCCTCTAACTAGACTGCCAGTGGCTGCGAAGCAGAGACCCTGTGCATCCTAGTGTTTAGAGAAAAGAGGGGTAGGGGAAGGCGGGGGAGGAGGATGGAGAGGTGGGTGGCTTTTGGGTGTTGAACGAGGGGGGCAGGGAGGTGGATGGGTTTTTGGTGATGGGTTAGGGGAGGGGCAGGCTGAGTTGGGTGGTGGACGAGGGGGGAGTGGAGGTGGAGGGTTTCTTGGTGCTGAGTTAGGGGGGGGGAGGTGGGCTAAATGAGCAGGAGGGGGGGGTGGAATACTTATGGGGTTAGAGGAGGGACGGGTGGATTTTGTGGGAGAATTTGAGTTGGACGCCCTAGGTGGCTTTGGAGGTACGTATGGGGAGTAGTTTTGAATGTTAGATAGGACTCTTGATCTGGCTACAGTGGGTGTGAGAGGAATAGTCTTCATCGCCGATCTTATCATGCCTGCAGAGTGTTCCGGTAAATCCAGTAGTGAAGGCGGGGATAGAAAACAAAGGGAAAGGTCGTCCTCATTTTCCCTAGATGGAGTGGATGTAGCGGGGGGGACCCAAGCCGGGTCCATGGAAGGTGATGAGGGAGTCTTTGGTGGAGACAGAGGTGGTTGAGGAACCCCCAGTACAGGCCTGACTGTAGCCTGGAGTAATGGGGGAAGCTTCACGGGAGCTGTAGGTGGGGAAGGTGCTGCTGAAGATGACGGAGCAGCCACTGCTGCTGCTGAAGATGATGGAGCAGCCACTGCTGCTGCTGTATCCACTGCTGCTGGTGAAGATGATGGAGCAGCCACTGCTGCTGCTGAAGATGATGGAGCAGCCACTGCTGCGGCTGTATCCACTGCTGCTGCTGAAGATGATGGAGCAGCCACTGCTGCTGCTGTATCCACTGCTGCTGCTGAAGATGATGGAGCAGCCACTGCTGCGGCTGTATCCACTGCTGCTGGTGGTGCTGTATATGCTGATGGCGCTGATGAAGATGTGGCAGCTGCTGATGATGCTGGGGGTGGAGGCGTTGAGCTCTTTCGAAGCCGTGGAGGTGTTGAGTTCTTTTGGAACCTTGGAGGTGTTGAGTTCTTCTTGAATCGTGGAGGTGTGGAGTTCTTTTGAGGCGGTGGGGGTGCAGAGACCTCGGGAGTCGGTGGAGATGGTCGTGATGTCTGTGCCCTTTGCTTCTTCTTTCTCCCTTTCAACGGCTGCACGCGCTGCGCAGGCTGAGGTCTTAGGGCAGATGCAAAGTTATCCATCAGCACTTTTACTCCGTAGTTGTTCAGATGTGGGCCTTTTTCTTCAAAAAGCTCGTGCCTATTCCAGAACAGATTAAAGTTTTCAATGAAGCCAAGTCCTCTGCGTGAACACTCATTGAGTAGGAATGTGTTTAGCTGATACAGACGGCTAAACTTCTCAATTTTTCCATCTATATTTGGCAGTGGGCCACTAAGAAAAATTGTTATGTCCATTTTCTTGAGGTCATCCAGTAACGGCGTTAAATCCATTCGTAACTTCTCGCTTGCCTTCTCATAGATATCTACCGCCCCCGTGTGGATCAATAATGTACGCACACCACTGTTTTCAGATAACACTTTAGGCAGGAGAGTTCTTATCTCAGCAACTTTAGCAGAGTGAACTGAGACAGTGAGCATGGACTCCATGTTTACATTTTTCACCGAGCCATCTCCGATAAGGACACAGTTTGTCCTTGGTGGAGGCGCTGCAGTTTTTAGCAGCTTTGTTGTAGAGACTACTGCTGATTCATCTTCCAAAAGTGGTGAAAAGCGGTTTCTTGTAATTAAAGATTTTTGCTGTGGCATTATGACACTCTTGTTATCATTAGCTTTGCCTTGTTTGGGCTTGGCACCATATGTGTTCCAACAATTGTCTCTGTTGATTTTGGGAAATGAAATAGCGTCATCATAACTTACGTTCTGTCCATGTGGTCCATTTCCTTTCACTGGTATTGTTGTGTTCAGCCCCAATTCTGATTCAAGCACAAACATTCGGTCTTGAAGAAGTTTTAGCTCCTGTTTGAGTGAAAAACAGCCGTCGCAAAGTTTTGTTCTTTCCCGTCCTCCCGAAATGCTGTAAGTTAGGTAAATTCCACAAGTCTTGTGTTGAAGTTTGTAAAAAGGAGTAATCCGTGTTTTGTTGAATAAAAATGTAAGCAAAAATGATTAAAGGAGATAAAAAAGCAGCAAGCGAGGAGCAGCACGAGAATGCGACTCTGTAGTCTCTGTTATGCAAACTAAAATCACAGACTCTACAGTCTATGGTGCTATGCGCATGATATTTGCTCAAGAATAGTTATACAAAAGCATAGTCTGAAGTAACATTGAAGTTGACACATATTTCTTTGCAGGTCCTGTGTACACTGAGATGGTCAACAACCTGCTCCGGCCGCTGGTGGAGGCTAAAGACTGCCAGCTCATCCGGCAGAATGTGTTCCACGCTCTGCCCAACACGGCAAACACGCTAATCGGCCGCGCCGCGCACATCGCTGTGCTGGACTCGGAGCTCTTCCTGGAGAAGTTCTTCTTAGTCGCGGGCTCAACTACTTTAAATAGAACCACTTCAGACTGTTGCGAATGGATTTTAGAATAAGCCGTAAGTATAACAGGAAAGATTAGGACCAGAAATGACCGCAAATGGGCGTCTGACGTTGCGTAGCCATGCAAAACTCAACATCTAGTGCGAAAATGTTTTGTTGGCCTTATGAATATTATTATCTCTAGCATTTGACTCTGGATCCATTTGGGCTGGTTTTGACCCTTTACTCGTTGTAAATACACAAAGATATCTTTCACACTGAAGGATGTCTCAGAAATAGTGTGGTTTGGCCTCTAGAACCTGGGGCAAAAGAAAAGCATTTACTCCTTGATTGTATATTACTAACTTGTACAGTATAGATGTTCCTTTATACAAAAAAATAATATATTGCTTAGATTTATTTATTTTTTACTTCTACGTTTGTGTCTGTTGTCCACCTAAATGTAAAGTTTTGCATCAAATCATCGGATTGTTAATTATTCAGAACTGTGTTACCTCATGGCCTATAATATTAGCATTCATGAGCTAACAGTCATCGGAGCTAATGCGTCGTTTCATAACATTAGTCAAACATTATAATGGCAACCAAAAGAGTTAAAGAAAGTATTTATTTTTCTCAATAGTGCCTAGTGGTTGTGTGTACAAAATAAGAACGGAGCTGTCCGTATGAATTGAGTGAACGTTCATTTTGCTGCGAGCGTAATCTGTCTAGTTACACCATTTCTCTGCAGTCTCGGTTTGGGAGATCTGTATTGCCGACAGTGCACTGACTGGAATCCAAAACGACAGACAGAATATTAATGGAGCTTTATAAAAGGCTTTAAATCAAGCTATGAAATTATTACAATATTTTTTCCTTCATAGTTAATGTAAGTCAAAGTAGGTGTTTGTGTAATCTTAAATTTCCAGCGTTTTCACTACTAATACACTGTTAATTTGATTTTTTTCTTTAGCTGCTATATAAGGGCGATACAGCTGTAGTACATGGGCATTTTGGCATGGATGGACAAAAATACAGTGATTTGCAGCTATGTCAGCTCCTAATAATACATTTTAGTAACATGGCGTTTTTCTCAGCACTAAAGGTCGCACTTAAGACGCTTTTTTTTATATATACAGTGGGGAGAACAAGTATTTGATACACTGCTGATTTTTCAGGTTTATCCACTTGCAAAGCATGTAGAAGTCTGTAATTTATATCATAGGTACTCTTCAACTGTGAGTGAAGGAATATAAAACAAAAATCCAGAAAATCACAGTAGAGGATTTGTAAATAATTAATTTGTATTTTATTGCATGAAATAAGTATTTGATCATCTACCAACCAGTAAGACGTTTGGCTCTCACAGACCTGTAACTTCTTCTTTAAGAAGCCCCCCTGTTCTCCACTCATTACCTGTATTAATGGCACCTGTTTGATCTTGTTATCTGTATAAAAGACACCTGTTCACACTCTCAATAAGTCAGACTCCAAAATCCACTATGGCCAAGACCAGAGAGCTGTGTAAGGAGGTCAGAGATAAAATTGTAGACCTGCACAATTCTGGAATGGGCTACAGGACAATAGGCAAGCAGCTTGGTGAGAAGGCAACAACTGTTGGTGCAATTATTAGAAAATGGAAGACATTTAAGACAACGGTCAATCTCCCTCGGTCTGGGGCGCCATGCAAGATCTCACCTCGTGGGGCATCAATGATCATGAGAAAGGTGAGAAATGAGCCCAGAACTACACACGGCAGGACCTGGTCAATGATCTGAATAGAGCTGGGACCACAGTCTCAAAGAAAACCATCAGTAACGCACTACGCCGTCAAGGATTAAAATCCTGCAGTGCACGCAAGGTGCCCTTGCTCAAGCCAAAGCATGTCCAGGCCCGTCTGATATTTGCAAATGACCATCTGGAATGATCCAGAGGAGGAATGGGAGAAGGTCATGTGGTCTGATGAGACAAAAATAGAACTTTTTGGTTTAAACTCCACTCGTCGTGTTTGGAGGAAGAAGAATGATGAGTACAACCCCAAGAACACCATCCCAACCGTGAAGCATGGCGGTGGAAACATCATTCTTTGGGGATGCTTTTCTGCAAAGGGGACAGGGCGACTGCACCGTGTTGAGGGAAGGATGGATGGGGCCATGTATCGTGAGATCTTGGCCAACAACCTCCTCCCCTCAGTAAGAGCACTGAAGATGGGACGTGGCTGGGTCTTCCAGCATGACAACGACCCAAAACACACAGCCAGGGCAACCAAGGAGTGGCTCCGTAAGAAACATCTCAAGGTCCTGGAGTGGCCTAGCCAGTCTCCAGACCTGAATCCAATTGAAAATCTTTGGAGGGAGCTTAAAGTCCGTGTGGCCCAGCGACAGCCTCGAAACCTGAAGACTCTAGAGGAGATCTGTTTGGAGGAGTGGGCCAAAATCCCTACTGCAGTGTGTGCAAACCTGGTCAAGAACTACAGGAAACGTCTGATCTCTGTAATTGCAAACAAAGGTTTCAGCACCAAATATTAATTTCTGTTTTTCTGATGTATCAAATACTTATTTCATGCAATAAAATGGAAATTAATTATTCAAAAATCATCTATTGTGATTTTCTGGATTTTTGTTTTATATTCCATCACTCCCAGTTGAAGAGTACCTATGATAGAAATTACAGACTTCTACATGCTTTGCAAGTGGGAAAATCTGAAAAATCAGCAGTGTATCAAATACTTGTTCTCCCCACTGTATATATATATATTATATGTATATATATGTTTTTCAATGTATTTTTGTATCTCCCTAAATCACAACATTAGCCGTTTTGTTGTCAACTCGCCAACACAGATCAGAGACTCAAACAAATAAAAAATAAAAATAGGAGCTATTGGTCAAAGAGGCCAAGGCCAGGACCAATGTCCATAAATGTGACAACGTTATATTACCAATGCAAAGTATATAGCTTATGTTTTTGCCACTTATTTTCTTAGCCAGTAGAAGTATGAAGTTGCAGTAAAATCACTTTGGAAAAACTGCAAGACTACCCCAACGTGTACCAGACAGCACACACCAAAGCTCTTGCCTTTCCCTGGTTTGAACAACATATCAGAATTTCTAATAATCGAAAATACATTCGGTATATTCATCCATCTCTGTGACCTACATTACCACCTTCTCTAAATTGCTAATTAATGTCACCTAGCCTGATTATGCTTTCACTGCTAAACACGGATTTTGAAAAGCATCCGCTCCATTTTGTCAACTAAAAAACAGTTCCGTGCCATTCTGCCCCTGCTGTCACCACGCTCGCTGGCATTGTTCCTCTTTCCTCTTAGCACGTCTGCAAAGGTTGTCATTATATCCCATCACATACGTCAAAGCCATGCTCTCTTCTCCGAGCGCCGTCCATCAAACCGCGTTCACACCCTGGCATCAGAAATCCGTCATCAGCATTTGTGTCATGAGCCCTGTCTGCATTTCTCTATGTAGAGACACAGAGCTGCATTTACCCTTTGCACTGCTGCGAACAACAAGTGCACTTTATTTTGAGAAAAGTGACAATAACAGTCTTGTGCATAGACATCTAGACAGTTTTAAGTAGGACAGTGTCTTATACAAGTCCATGTGTGAGTCATAATAACTATTGAAATTGCATAGTTTTTGATTATTATTATTATATGGTCCAGAAATCCCATTTGAGTGCGTGAATATGGTCCAAACCACCGTTAAAAGAATGTCAATGCGCTTATGCGAGTATGGCCGTTAAATTTGGCTGTGTGAAAGCGCACACTGACGCAAGCCTAGAATATAATTGTAGCTCTGCCTTCAGACAAATGGGAAGTTGGCCATATTGGATTAATATTCTAAAGCTGATTTAATTCTGACATTTATTCCTTTTACCCAAATAGGCTCAAACTTAGCATACGCCTCCTACTGGGACTTTAAATAATAGTCATTAAAGGTTTTTGGAATGTTCATGTTTTTTTTTTTTTACGTCGTTTTTAGACCAGGGTGTCAAACCGGTCTTTGTTCAGAGACCTTCCACGGGCTTTATATAACAGTAGTATGTGTTCACGGAGGTGCGCAATAAGTTTATTTTATTATTAAACGGTATTATTTTTATTATTTCATTTTTTATTTCCGCATCGGCGAACACACTCGAAGCAGTTGCATAAGGTCACGGGAGCATGACAACGCATATATTCACAAGCATACAGTCCCCCATTGTCAACCCTGGTTTAGTCCTGGTATAGCTCCTGTTTTGGCTGTTTACAGTATGTTCAGTCTGCTCGCTCAGACCACTAATGTCCCCGTGACCACTTTGCGGCTCTCTGATTGGTCGCTGCACGAACGTCCCCGGGAAAGGTTGAGCATAGTTTATCTCCTGTGGGCGTCCATTTTCCGCTCCTGCTCCTCCCCTTTGACTTTCCCGCCAAGTCCGCAACGCATGATCCGGTCTGAACGCGGCATTAGACAACAAACAAATCTGGAACTTGAAAAAGCTGTATAATCTTAGCTGGATACAACCTCATTTGAATCCTGGCTCAAAAACACATTTTACATATACAATATCTCCTGCTTTATAGGACAATGGGAAACTGGAAAGTCCTTCGCCGATGATGTAATAAACTATATTTTTGGGCTTTGAACTAAAAGTCAAAATCAGACCCAAAATGAAATTAAAGATCTGTCTACATCCAACACAGAGATAACAGAGGAGAAGACAAATATTAGCAATACAATCCATTGGTCTTAAAGCATATTTCACAGTCAATCCTAAGCACGTGTGTGATGATAATGTGGCTATAGACCATACAACACTCCAAACTTTAACTATAGCCATTTCTTGCATAGAGGTGATGTCACTTCAATTGAAATAGCTGGATGTGTCCTTTGCCGGTACATTGTCATTTCAGACCTGAGAATCCAACAATGGCAATCCGTCACGTAGAGCCCTAATTATTTAGTCAACAGTGGTATACAGCCGGTTAATTTAATTGTATTTACAGTTCTTGGCTCCCCTTTAGTGTTGTTTATTGTGGGTATAACTCAAGATTTCAATATTAGCTTTAGAGTCCTGTTTCAAGGTAACTGTAGTTCTGGAAGCAGTCTTACAGTAAGTGTTGTTCGCAAAAACCAGATTCATCACGGATTTCAAAGGCAGATCTCCGAGAATAGTGCTGTCACATTTGCCTCATTCTTCGTTTTTGGGCCAAAGGGTTTCACATAATTACACCCAAAGACACACTTTCTCCAAGGAAACATGATGCTAACACTTTTAATCGTTGACAATAGCAGAAACACAGTATGGCTCGATGTGGTAAACGCGGGACCATAGGCTGAACTCGGGACATGCGCTGATTTGTCGTTTTGATTTTCACCGGGAAAATTAACAAGGCTTCTCCTGTTCGTGCCGTGTCATCAATGTGAACCAAGGCGTTTTGCTAACTCTCGAGAAAAGAAAGAGAAAGATCGCTCTCTATAACTAAAGCTGGAGGGTATCAATGAAAAAACGACTTGTGTATGAAGGCCAAATAGCACTGATCTTTAAACCATAGACAACCCGAAAAGCGTAATTTGTGACCTTTTAAACACGGCCTTTTTCAAACCAAACCAATGTTTTTGTAATCCTCCAAAGGCTCCAACCCCATTCCCTGTCACCTCTGCTGCGTCACGCCGGTCAACAGCAGCAGCAGCAGTGTCTGGGATTGACTTAAATCAGACAGGCTCACAGGGAGGGTCCTGAAAAGGCAGCATAAGCAGTTGGCCCCGGTCGTCCATGCATCATTTCACACCAAGGCGAAGGATACAGATGAGGCTTGTTTGCTCGCTCTCCCCGCACGTGTTTACAGAGTGGGGTCAGCGGGAATCAATGGAGGGGAAAAGTGTTGCTCGGAGCCAAGGGCAAAACCTGGTGAGAAATATAATCGCTTCATATTGTATCTGCGAACACGCCGCTAATGTGTTTCTATTAAGCAGGGCTGCTCAGTACAGGTGAGAAGTCTTGTAGCTTACAGCGAGAAAAGAAACGACAGCTGCAATTACTTTTTGATTTTCCGTTAATCCACACATTTTCATACTTATTACTTATTCTGCTAAAGATTTTATACTTGATTTTTGCTTCTATATTACGCTAAAGTTAGAGATTTTATACTTGCTTCTTTATTATTAAGTTAGAGTTTTTATTCAATCTATTACAGAGTTATTGTTAATTTATCGTGTGTTGTGTGCTCCTCATTCTTACTGTTCTGTAACTAGTGATGCAACACTGAAATTTCCCCAATGTGGGACAAATCAAGGATCTCTTTATCTTGATCATGTTACGATGCTAAATATGTTTGTCGTTAACTGTTCAGCCGACATTTCCTCAAAACAGAACAGAACGATACAATCTTGAACTCCTTTCAAATGTATTTAACCATCTTATTAAATCAACATGTCTTTGCACTGGCTTTTGATAACCATTTAACATACTAGATGTCTGTTGTTATTATTTTGAAGTTGAGTTTAGTTTTAAATCGATTGTCTTTTTATGAGTCTGACACTGAATTGCAGCGCACTGGAGCCCTGTTATAAATGCGATGTATAAATAAACTTGACCTTGACCATGAGTGTGTTTCCAGCTGAGCCTTAGAGCTACCCCTTCGACATGTCGTTTTAAATCTGTAATTTTATTTTGCTGAAATATTACTTTGTTTTGAGAAGGACACTATCATTTGTTGTTGGTCTTTTTGCCCTTTTGCAGAGCGGACAGATGTTAGCTTAATATGTTTGTTTGGAATCTTTGGTTGGATCAGCAAATGCCGTGCCAATGTTACGTTTCAAACACCATCACTAAGATAAGATAAGATAAGATTTTCTTTACTGACTGGTATTAAATCAAATGCATATGTATTTTTATTTTTTAAGCAATAGGACGTTTTGTGCACTTGGACTATTTCAGAAATCCATTTGCAGAAAACCGCTCCATCAAAAATAACAGATACAAAAAATCATCAAACCCAATGACTTCCAAATAACATATTTTTGTACAATAGTAATCTCAGCTTTTCCTGATCAAACCCACCTAATGTTTTATTATCAAAGCTGGGATACCTAACTTTTTAAATACATAATACAGTTTGTTTTTCCCAACAGAAAACGTCTTGTAAAGGTCCATTTTTGTAGCCAAATCATGAAAAAATATGCCGTCTTCATTTATGTTTATTATACATTATCCTTTCCATTCTTGGGCTGAGAGCTGATTGGCTGAGTGAGGGTCCTTATTTTCCGCTTGTCTATCTGAAAAGGCTGATCTAAAGCCAAAAATGCATCTATGGGAAAACTGAACCACGGTTGTGACAAGATGGATGGATTTTATGACATCGCTCTATTTGTTGCAGTAAAATAGGTACCCCAGCTTTGATATTGTCCATAGTAGAAAATCACACACACTCTGTTCATCTGCTTTTGCATAAGAAAGCAGGGAAATGAAATGATCTCTGCTTGGGAAAAGGCAGTAGTACATGGCGCTGTGTTAGCCTGGTCACTCACCTCCTCTCTGCTCGTTCTGTCCTTGTGCTGAGTGCAGCTTTTCTGTGGCGTCTGAGAGCGTTTGACTTTCATATTGATCTGACTTGAACCTGTTTCTATCTTTTTGCCCTTTATTGTCGCGCTGAGGAGAGCGGCGTGAGCAAAGACTCTGTACGTACTGCTGTAATCATGCTGAATGTAAAAACGTGTAAATGACGGTGAATACTAACTCACCTGTGCCAATACTACGCAAATATTTTTCTATGTGGCTGACTACTGTACTGTATGTATTCCTCAAAGTAGCTTGTGATCAATGTACAAATATAAATATGATAGAATAGTATTATAACAGATGAGATGTAACAATAAAAACCTTGATTTTGGTATGTTTTGTTTGTCAGTCTCATTATTTTGAAACTATAATCCCCTACTCTTACAATTTCATATACAAATGGTAATTCTTATCTGCTTTGTTCTGTATAATCCGAATCCTTTTTTTTTTGCCATTGTAAGTAACAGGAAGTCACAAACTAGGATTTTGCTTTGGCTCATGATGCAAACAAGTTATACAAGTGAAAAATAGATTTAAGACATTCATAAGATGTCTACCTTATACAAGCGCACACTAAGTACAATAGACATTAACGGTACAGGTTAGAATGACAATAGTACACTTCAATGTTGTGGAAGACCAGGGTAGATAAAATGGTAAAGAGTTTTTATAGTTTTTTTGATTAACAGGAAATCTATACAGCAAAGAATTAGGTGGGCTAATGGCTATTATAACGTTTGAATGCTGATATGACCAAACATAAATCAATATTTGGCAACGCAACAAAGGGGTGATGAAGATGTAGATGGTTTTTTTTTGCATTAGTTTAGTCAAGAGTGAGCGCATTGATTGATGACATCATTTGACATGTCAGCTGCAGCAGTTAGACGGGTTGGATTCCACCTCCAGACGGCCTTTCTGTGTGGAGTTGTTATGTGCAGGCGTTGGTTTCCTTAGGGTACTCTGGTTTTGTGACTCAACCACAGCGCGCATGAGAAGGCAGAGCGTGCAGTGAGCTCAGACGGACCAGTACACCTCTGCACACTGCTGTCTGGATGGATCAGATGCACGTGGAGACTGAACCGAACCTGGGGACTCACTGAATATACAAGCCATGTGATAGCCTCCGAACCAGAGTTATTTCACAAGTCTCCTCTCATGGAGCCAGAGCACAGCGGGCCGTGGGGAAGGAACAAAGCCGTAGCACAGAACAATTAAGATTCAGACTACTTTATTTATCCCACCAGGAGCCATTCATTTGAGCTGCACATAAAAGAATAAAATACACAAATAATATAAAAACACAGGAAATAGGCGATTTGACTTGAACCAGGACCTGATCCATGTGTGTAAGACGGGGCCGTTTATATCAACCTTGACGCAATATACATCCATGGTTAAAAGCTATAAAGAAGTATCTGTCAGTTCCTCTGCTTGACTTTGTTGGGATGGGTAATGCTGGATTCAGGAGTCGCAGAGAGTGTACTAACTTTGCCATATAGCGCCGTGCTATGGCTTTAGAAGACTGTTTTGACTCTTATGTTTGGACACGCTCCTGGTTTCCCTGTGGTGAAAAAACCCCACACAGGTCCAAACAACACGCCACTGTTTCCCACCCGTGGTTAATCACACAGGGCCGCAGTGAAGGGGACAGAGTTATAATTCTTTGCCGATACAGACTCTGCAGTTACGGCACCTCTCTCTCTTCTGTCTGCGGAACATAATGTTTGCAGATCTTAACAGATTCTACACTAAACAATAAGGAACCATCTGTATTCTGACAAAAGCATTCCCCCGCCGACGGCCCATTTCAAACTGCCTCAATTGATGACTTCCAGGTTCCATCCCACTGCGATAAATCCACGCCTCAACAATCCATACACAATTTGATTTCAGGGTGTTCCTTCTTGTTCATTTGTCACGATCCAACTGGGGCCAATGGGACTCCCTCCACTTTGCCAGCGCTCAAATCAATACAACTCGTTTTTTTACCAAAGACATTGATGGTTTTGCTCGCTCCGTCTTTGTAATGCCTTCCATTTAGCCGCAATTGCTCGGTCACATTCACTTATCATCAAACGCAACACAAATCAAATCTGCGTTCCTGTTTACGGCGCTTATCGTGTGTCGTCTATAAAAAAGTGAAAAAAAATCATTGTGTCATTAGATCCATCACTGCAGCTTGATTGAATCGCTGTTCATTGGCGTGTGTGTGGGTGAGGGAGGAGAAGGAGGGGAGGTGGGGTCCCAGGGTGCTGCTCAGGCCCGTGTTCGATAAGCCGTCCGCCGCTGGGAGTAATTATTGCACCATGAAAAGCACTGCGGTAATGGGATCGCGGCTCGTTATGACGCAGACGAGTAGGATTTCACATGTACGACGTGTGGAGGGAAAGAGATCGACAGAGGTGAGGTTTTTGTGCGTTAGTGAGAGTTAAGTGTTAGTGTACCATAAGATGGTTGTGTTGCTTTCAATTGAAAAGAGATGAAATGGTAAAGTGACACTCTGTTAGCTGTTTAAACCATTTTACAACTTTATTTCCTCATCAGAAAAGACTTGACGTGATAACTTCTACGTCATGGTGCTACGTTCCTTAGGACTTCGCTAGTGGGATATCACTCGTGACCCCCAGGTCACACGCCAGAGAGATCAAAATAATTTGCTCCAATCACCAGCCACCCTCCTCTATAAATGCCCCTGCACAAGGCCGCACCCCCTCTTTCACTCTGGCGCCGTTTGAGATCTACCACAGTACTTACTTCATTCTGAGATGTCTTCCTTGTTCGTCCGAGTTCCCTTCTCCCTCCGGCGTCGGACGTCGTCGCTGGATCCAGACGGTGGAGGACTTCACCTCTGTGGGTGCCACCACTCGAGGGAGGAGGAGGATACAAACCACGTTGTGCCCGCGGATGGACCCGTTCGTCCATTACGCGACACGTGAGTGGCCAAAGCCCCTAGCAGCCAAGAGGCCTGCTCTGGGGTACGACATGTATTGCAGCGTGCAGGACTGGTCCTGGACCTGTGATCGAGGATTCAGTCCGCATGGCCCTGCAGCCCTCCGCATCCGTGTGGCCCGGCACCAGACCTCTCCTTCTCTCCGAGCGGGACAGGATGTCTTGCCGATGCTGGATAGATGTTATGCCAATGCGG